CTGGTTTTTGTGTTTGTTTTTTGGGGGGGGGGGGGTACATTACAGCTACACCAAGTAAAACATTTGGCTGATTATTCTAAAGACTGACATATTATGGGCTTGAACAGTTTTCACTTGGTTCCATTTACAGCAGGGGTCTCAAACGTCCGGCCCTCCAGCTGTGGTGGAACTACAAATCCCATGAGGCATTGCAAGATTCTCACAGCCACAGATATGACTCCCAAGATGCATCATGGGATTTGTAGTTTCACCACAGCTGGAGAGCCGGAGGTTTGAGACCCCTGATTTACAGAAATGTTTTTGTATTTCACTATTCTGAATATTACGCTGTACTGGGGCCATCTTAGCACTTCACTTTCTAGTGCTCCTATACTGTATTGCTTCACACAAGGACTCCATCTGAGTACTCCCTACTGTGCTTCCCTTACATAAGGATCGCTCCTTTTCCTAACATCCAGGAGCCATTATGGGATGGTGTAGCACTAATGTAGTTCATGTAGAGCTGCAACAGGAACAGCAAACATTTGTAATTGCAGGGAACAGAAGCAATGCAGGTGATGTTTCCAGTGATGCTGCATGGGCACCATAGGAGACAACCTTTTGAGCTGCAATGTGGGCAGAAAGTGTCCGCAATTCTTAGCTCCTGCCAGTGGCCAATGAGATACAGTGTTTTTCTAAGAACAGGATGAACAATGATTCCAGCTGTGCATAGGTGCACTCTACGAAAAAAACAACCTAGGGACCTAACTGTGAAATAATATTTTTCTGTTGCTTAACAGGGCTAAACAAGTGGGAGGATATAGGGCTGGCAGCTGAAAACCATTTTCATTTTTAATTTCTAGGCCTTAAAAATGTTGTGGGACCTAAGAACAATGCTTTTATGTGCCTAATGGAAACTCTAACCCTAATCCAAACACGTGAACACATAGTAGCACTAAGGTCCACAAACTTCTGTATGGAATACAAAATCAGGGCAAGGCTTCCATTCAGCATCTTTAAAGACTAGGGGTAGGAAAACTTTGGAACTAAGAGTCACCACAGCTGGGGGGCCAAAGAATTCATTTTTACGCTGAATTCTGGTATAACCAAAATTTGCAAATATTGCAATAACCTAGCATAACATTTTACCACTATGCAGGTCATCCTGTAATAAAGACAAGTCACTGCTGCTTTCTCTCCTTGTGCAGGGTGACTGGTCTTGTATCCGCCCTCCTCCAGTAGTTTTTTGCAGGCAGCCTATAGTTGGTGAACTTGCAGTCCACACAAATATTTTAAATGACATTTTTTTTACATGAAGTTCAGCCTGGAAAGAAAAGAGCCATTGTTATACATAATGACTAATCACTTAACATCTTTAATTTTCCTACCTGTTGGATCTGTAATTGAACTACTATGGGCTACAACTCTTTACCTCCAGATTTTTTAAATTAACAATATTGATTTGCTTGGCTTTGACAAATAGCAGACCTGTATAAATTATTAAATATATCATGCTGTTTTCCCATATGCTGCTCTAGAACACTGACCGTTAGCGGATGCCAGAATCATCGCCTGAAGTCTCTCGGTTTCAAACTGGTTGTTTGGCCATACTCCAGCTTCCTCTGTGGGTTGAGCTCTAAAGAGATCATAATGACAAAGCACAATTACCATTAAACAACAAAAGCAATTGTAAAAAAAAACACAGAAATACTAACAGAGATCATCAGTAGTAAGGCTTTAATTTACAGGACTATACAACAATGATAAAGCTGTTCTTATAATTACTGAACTATGTTTTAGAAAACAAAGCACGACAACAGGCAATTTTGTATACAAAATAGCATTTGCTTACAGGACAATTATATGTATTCATCTTATCTGTACAAAGCTACATGGCACATAAATGTTCTGTTTAGCAAAGAAAGATTATCATCATGGAAATTCTGGTTTTTATATAGAAACAAATCTCCTCTCTTCGCACTATTTTAGATGCGCATTTTACCCTAATTATTGTAGATTTAGATCGTTACACATGTGCCTTTAAAGTTTTTTTTGGTTTTTTTTCAGTTTCCCTGTTTTTATACGGAATCTATTGCCTTTTAGTAAACCTGTTACACACCTGGGCAAATCAAACTGAGCATATGATAAAATGCCCGGTATTGATTAAGAGAAATGGGCAGCTGAAGGTATATGCAAATCTGGACTTTTCCTGTAAAAGTAAGCTTGGCCCTGCTCTTCCCATCTCTTTAACGAGAACACAGACAAATCAAAAATACGTATTTAGTAGATTGTGGAAAGGTTAGAACTTATGACCATGAATTTAATGCTGTCTTTAACTTCCTGCCTAAAAAAACTAAAATCTGATTTTTGGAAACAAACGTATACTCACTTTCCCAACCTTGCCAACTGCTCTATTGCTCCTGTAGTCAATTCCTGCATAAGATTTGTGTCAGATAGAGCTTCCAGAGGGTTGTTAAGGTCATCCCCACCCGCTCCTGGCAGCCCTCAGGCTTGGCTATTGGCTGCTCAGGCTCAAGCGCTGCATGCTGGGAGGAGGTCATATGCATTACACAAACCCAGAAACACTGTGAGGGGAATTTATCAACACTGGAGCAGACAAAATCTGGAGCAGCTGTGCATGGCAACCAATCAGCTTCTCTCTTTCATTTTCAAATCTTAATTGAACAGACTGAAGAGAGAAGCTGAATGGTTACCATGGGCAACTGCTCCAGATTTTGTCTGCTCCAGTTTTGATAAATTTCCCCCTGTGTATTTTGGGGTGGCTCTAATGAAGGAGCAGAGCAAAGGGGATGGTGAGTTTAAAAGTGGGTCGTGGCATGGGTTACCAAGAGACTCTGTTACAATTGTAACTATTCCTGGGATGTGTTACCAAGAGACTAGGTTACTATTGTAACTTTTCATGGGGTGAGTTACCAAGAGACTCTGTTACAGGGACGTGCGGTCAGGGGAGGCAGAGCCTCACCTAGTATTATGGAGGAAAAAGCTGTCAGCTTCAAGTCTGAAGCTGACAGCTTTTTTCCATGCAGATGGGCTTCTATCAGGTTACACAGCAGGGACAGCCTCCCCGCTGTGTAACCTGTCATGGACGGAGCGCTGCATCCGGCTTTTGACAGGTAGTTAGGTTACACAGCAGAGTTGTCACAGTCTCTACTCTTTGTTAGAGACGTGAGCTCTGTGGATGGCTTGGGCCAATGGAAAAGCGCCATTGGTCCAAGCTGTCCAATCAAAAAAAGGAAAAAATCGATCTCGATGCCTCAGCAGTGACAAGCAAGTGAGGGACAGGGAGGCTCCTCCCTGTCTCCTCCCTTCCTCCTTCACATTAGCTTGGGGAGCGGGTTGGGCCGGGGCTTTGACAGGTGGTGCGGGGCTTCAGCTGGCGGGGAGGGGCGTGCTGGGGGCGAGGCTGGGGAATGCCTCACCTGGGGAATGCCGTACCTCAACCAGAGGTACACACGTCACTGTTCTGTTACCATTGTAACTATTCGTGGGGCAGTTACCAAGAGACCCTGATAGTATTGCAACTATTCATGGGGTGGGTTGCCAAGACACTTGTTACTATTGTGCTATTGTTACTGTTGTCTGTTGTATTGATTAACATGGTAATGCTTATTGTGTTTCCTCTCATTGGTCTTTCACTGGATGAAACTTTTAAGAGGAATTTGAATCTTAAATTTACTTTCCAATTCAAAACATAGCTACTAACTCTCTCTCATTTGAAGTCAAATCTCTCCATACCTTTAGTAGCCATCTTTTAAGTCTGGTGTTAATACCTCTGTAAAGACTGTACAGGTGAAACTCGAATAATTAGAATATCGTGCAAAGTTCATTTATTTCACTAATGCAACTTAAAAGGTGAAACTAATATATAGACTATATAGATAGACTCAATACATGCAAATCAAGATAATTCAAGCCGTGATTTGTCATAATTGTGATGATTATGGCTTACAGCTCATGAAAACCCCAAGAACCCCAAATCCACAACCTCAAAAAAGTAGATAATTACATGCAATCAATAAAACAAGGATTGTACATAGAACAATATCGGACCTCTGAAAAGTACAAGCATGCATATGTACTCAGTACTTGGTTTGGGCCCCTTTTGCAGCAATTACTGCAATTACTTTTGCACGATATTCTAATTATTCGAGTTTCACCTGAATTATTTAGCTATAAAAAAAATATCATATTGGACCAAACCTTTCAACCAACCTCTAAACTATTGCATTTGTTATTTTGAAAAGCTAGTATAAAGGAAACGTAATGGAAGAAACACTTGTGGGTTTAACCAATACTTATTTGCATATGAACTCATTGTAGTCTGCAAAACTGTGTGTGTGGCATGTCCTTAATCTGTTCCTCTCTCTCATCTCCGAAAGTTGGGAGCAGGGCCAGGCTGACCCAAAGGTAGAAGAGGTGGCCACCTTGACACTGTACATGCTATATGCGTGCTGCAGTAGGGGTGGAGGGTTAGGGGAAGAGTGCTGGACTGGAGTCAGAATTTGCAGCCATGCTTAAGGTACAAATGACAGCCTCAATCAGTGAAATAGCTGTGGTCCTGCAGTCCACAGTAATGCAGTCACTTATTGTAAAGTGTAATCAATCAAACATTTTGATACTAAAGCCAAACTGGGAAGTGTCCTCACATGTAATTTTATTTATTGCTGTGAGGAATGGGTGGTTACCTAGGGTGGGAGCAGTGATTATCTTAATGCAAAAGCCCAGTCCCCTCATACAAAATGCCTAGTCAAAATATAAAACTGTGTGCAAAAGAAATATTAACTTTTGAAGATTAAGTTCTACCCACTTCCTGGGTGATGTCATTGTGTCTCACCCTACCTTCCAGGAAGGCTGGGGGTTCATAATTCCATTAAGAATGCGCTCCTGAATTGTGCTGCCAGCAGTGAGGCCCAGGGACATCACCAGCGACTTCAGTAGGTAGGTGAAAGCTGGGGCTGTAAGCACTATATATATATATTTTTTAGGCAATTTGTATTTTGGGTGTTGGGGGTGCTGTCAATAAAATGGACCTTGTATTTTCATGCAAGGTCAGTCAGCTGTAAAAACAAAAACAAAACCTGGCTGTGCTTCACTGTGCTCATGAGGACTAAACCACACTAGTTTGCAATCAGCAAACACTCTCAACCTCTACTCCATCCCATTCAGCTTTTCACAACCAAAATGTGTCAATTCTAGGGACCTTATTCTGCCACTTATTGGGAGGTATGTATAAAAAACACAAACTAATTTCATTTTTACAGGTGAAACCTTTAGTCTCCCACATTGTTCCTGCTGGGTATGTAAAGTGTTTCAGAATAAAGTGCATGTTAAACATTTGCTTTTATTATGCTTTGGAGGATTATCAGAAAGGTGTGTGGGTGATGAGTAAGTAGCATTTTTCCACAAACCTAGCATTGCTTTTTTTGTGTTTTCCTGTGTCCAGGGTGATGATGACTGCCAGAGGAGCTGGCAGCCCTGCAACCCCCATGATGCAGAAAACTTGCAGTATGTGAATAGCATCATGTTCTCTTCATGTGGGTTGCTCTTGAGCCCTGTTAGGAAGATCCCCGTTAGCCTTGGCCTCCCGAAAGGTGCTTTAACTAGTGACACATTGAAGGACAGATGCAAGTTATGGTCTGTTACGGCAGGGGATCTAATCCTCTCTTCTTAAAGAAAATGTTCTTTGGTGTGATTTTCCAAAGATTATCTGAAAGATAAGGTTTAAAAAAGTAAAATTTGTCTGCAGATCATAGGTCCATGCCCCAACATCAATGACCATCTCACTTAGTGGTCTATTCACTAAGCTGCCGAAGGATCTAGCCGTAGCTTCGGCTGATCCTTCGGCTAACTTCGGCCCCAGGACCCCTTTCGGTTCAGGAGAACTGAAGGGCTGCTGTACGGGCTATTCACTATAGCCCGTACAGCTCCCGAAGATGGCCGAGTGGCTCAGTGGAGCCAAAGGCATATGCCTTGGCTTGACTGAGCCGTGGTGAAAGCCGAAGCTGGCCGAATGGCCGGCCATTTGCCGGCCGACAGCCTGCTTCTGACAGCTGAGCAGAGCCAGCAGTCATCTCACGGCTGGCTCCGGCCACTTGCAGAGAGATCATCGTCCCTGGTTACCAGGTAACCAGGGGCGCTGTCATTACACACCGAGAGCGGCCTCTCTATATTCTCAGTGTGTAATGACAGATGGCGTTCCTGGTTACCAGGTAACCAGGAACGCCATCAGTCATTCCTCCCCCGGACGCTCTGGGAGTCTAATTAGGGAGTCTAATAGAAAAACACTTTCTCCCAGAAAGGTTCACTCTGCTCGATCGAGCAGAGTAAACCTTTCCCTTTCCCGCCGGCCAATAGAAAACAGTTGGGTGGAGCTAGCTTTCACTGCAAGCTCCGCACAATCATTTTCTAATTTTTTTTCTACTTTTTAAACTATTTTTCTATTCTGCTCGGTCCCACAGAGGTACCGGGCAGAACAGCCGAGCCGAATGCCACTCAGCGGCATTCGGCTATTTACTCACTGCTGTTCGGCATCTATGAGAATAGACCGAACAGCAGCAAGTAGCCTGCCGGAGGTTCGGCTTTGCCGATCCAGATGTTGGATTGGCTGAGTCGAAC